TCTAGGTCCTTCTAGATGTAATTGTGCGGTTTTTTTATGTTTTCTTGACTTTTTTTTTTTTTTTTTTACAAGTATTGTCATATTGACCACCACGTTGCTTAAAGAAAGTGATTGAACAAGAGCTTTAATAAAGAGAGAAGCCGATGTTCGAACCACGTGGTAAATGAGTGTCAAGTAAGTGTTGTGCTTCAAGACAAATTTAGAGTTTAAATTTTGGATCAACAGCTTAATGTTCTTGTATTAATTAAAACCATACGAAAGATTTGGTTTTAATATCATTTTAGGGAGGAAATAATTTTAAAATATTAAAATGTGTAAAAATTAATCCTAAAACACCATAAGGACAAATACTTAAAATAAAAGTATGCTAAGAAATTAGATCCTCTTTATATCATTTTAAGAGTTTATTTGAACATTAATTTCATGCATTAAAAAAAATTAATTTCATTTAAAGTTGGCCACAAGACTAAAACATTATACCTCTAACATACAAAAAAACACTTGTTTATTAAAAAATTCAATTTTTAGATTTTAGAATTTTTTTTGGAAGAAATTAGACAAGTATTAGCCATAACCTATGGAGTTCAACATAATTTGGTTTGCTGACACAATTCCTAATCTTTTTTTTTTTTTTTTTGAGTTAGTTACACTATAAGAAAAAAGATGATGAAATTAATTACTAGCTAGAATGAGTTTTATCATACTGAAGCCAGTACGTTGGTTTATACTCCATAACTGCTTCAATTTACATTTAAGTAGCATGGTGACATGGTTTGAATTTGTGTTTGGATATGATTTGAAGATGTAATTTTTTTGATTTATTCTTTTTGGTAATTTAATTTTTTTAAATGTAAGATGAAGGACTTGAATTTGTGATGGACGTTCAACTGTGACAATGATTTCATTGAATTTGTTATATGGAAGGGGTGAACAACTGCACTAATGCAGGTATGAAGAGTCACTAGAGTGTTCTTTGTATGATGTCATACTCCCTTAATAAAATTCACTTTTCTTCGTTGATCAAAAAAATAAAATTTTACTCTCTTAACACTCTTTTTATCATTTTTTTCTTTTTTATTTCAAATCCTTCATGTACATTTTTCTACTATATTTTTTCAATATATATATAGATCATTTTTTATTTCCAATTGATAACTTAAAGATTGTAAAATTAATCTTAGTCAATACCATGAACAGAAGGCGGGAAGTTTTGGCCAAGATACGATCGAGAGAGAAGGTGCGCAAGGACTGGCTTCCTCCAAACCCGCAAGAAGGAAAACACAAGAATGAGCATAGCACATGCTGCAATTTGCTTTCATCTTGTTTATTTGATCCTTCACCAGAGAAAAGGAAGTGAACATGACTAGCAACCATATTGTGAACTGTGTTTTATTTATTTATTTATTTTTTGTATTCATTATTTTTCTTGGCTTGTATTTTTAATTGATTTTATTTTGTAATAATTTAGTATTATTAAAATTATCAACTGATAATTTTACTTTAATATTTCCTTTACCGTAAAAAAATTACAAACTTAATAAATTTTTATTTAAAAATTAATTATCTTTAAGGTATTTCGTTATAAATTTGACAAAAGCATTTTTTTAATTGAAAAATTATTTTCAACCGTGGATTAGAGGACAGGGTTTTTTTTTTTTTTCCGTTTTAATTTTGAAATAGAATTTTTGTGACAAAACTCATTCATTGATGTTTCTATTAACTACTTTTGTGAAGAGATTTTTCGTCACAAATATAAGTTGTAATTACATAAATACCCCTTTCAGTTCAATATCAGTTTAAATAATTAATAGTCAAATATTTCGTTAAGAGATATTTAATTGCATTTGTGACCATTTTTTTGTGACTCAGTTGTAACTTTTGTGACAAAAATTTTTATAATACAAGTGATTTTTATGATGAATAAAATTTTTACAAAAAATTTATTAATAATGTTGATTTTTTTTGTCATTGAAAATTTTTTTTTTGTGACAAGTGTTAAATTCATCACTAAAAGCATTAATGATAAGGATTTACCACTAATTTTATTTTGTGACAAAAAATGAAAGTTTAATAACTAGTAAATTAGTCATTAAATGTGGTTTTTCTTGTAGTGTTAACTATCATCAACGGTAAAATACCAAAATTCACCCTCAAATTATAACAGCGAGGATGGATTCACTCTCAAACAAAAAATAAGATAAATCCACTTATAAAATTTTTTATTTAAACAAATAACTCATTATATGACTGATCACGTTAACTGACGTCATCTTTCTCTTAATTGCGTACTTACTCACACATTTTACACACTGTGAAGGATTTTTTACCTACGTAGATGCTGACATGGCCTATTCTCACCCATTTTAATCCTATGCGGCGATTTTAGCCCTTTTTTTTTTTTTTTTACATTACACATCAACTGGACCTCACATAAAAATATATTTTTTCACATTACACATCAACTGGACCCCACATAAAAATATATAATTCCTAAAAAAATCTCAAATTTTATTTGTGTCTTCCCCTTCCTTCTCTATTCTCCAGAAATAATGGGTTAGGTTTCTCTTTATCTCCCAAATCTGGGTTAGGAGAAGTTGATTCCATGGCATCTTCCTCCAACTCTTGATGGTGAACCACAATTTTGAGT